TCATGTTCCATCCAGCTCGTATCTACTGTCTTCATCCATCTGTCAATGGAGATTCCTGAATTTGCAACCTGGGGCGCTTCGTGCAAGCCAGCTTTAAGCAACAAGCTTCCAGCGCCAACCACCCTCGTATCGAGCACCAAGACCACTGCGCACTAAGATAGGCATCATGGCAGCCGCCCGGTTGTTCAGCAATCATTGTCCTGTCAAATCGAACAGGGATGGCACTTGCACATATCTGCCCAGGTTTGTTTTGCCCTGCCCTACCCTACCATGCCGCACCCCGCCCACCCAGCCCATCCTTCAGTGGAAATGATCGAAGTGGCCTCCGCCCCCTCCACCCCTGGCCATCCCTGCTCGCGCAAGCTTGCTGCGTCAGCTCCGACCCCGACCCTGACCTACCCCAAAACCCTACCTGACCAAACCACCTGTAAAGCATGCCATGCCATTACATGGCGCGGCTTGCAATGGCAATCGGCAGGCAAGGTTGGGAACACAGACTGCTGATGGGGCATGGGCATATGGCTAGGCTAGGCACCATGGCCAGGTGCCAAAAGGAGCGTCACAGAGCTAACCCCATTGTCGTGGCGACTTCTTATCGCAAGCTCGATAACCTGCCCTGGCCAGCCTTCCCTACCCTTCGTCCCTCCACTCCCTGACTTTGCACCATGCAGGTCCCTACCCCGACCACATTCCTATCCTGTCCGGTTGCACGGCTGCGGTGCTCCCCGCATGCTAGCATGCCGGCGCGCCACACCCGCCACGCCAACCGCTATGCCTGCCCGACCCCGCCATGTTGCGCTTTTTTGTTCGGTGGGGGCGGATACAGGGTTGGGGCTGTGGTTCATCAAATCGCGTTTTTGTTCGCGAAAACGCTGCCTACCGCTTCATGCAAGCAAGCTTCAAGCACCGAGATTCTAGCGACCCATCTGTTTACGTGACAGCAAGTGTAGCTACTTGTAGCAGGAGACAACTAGCAACATAATCGGACAAGATCGCATCTGTATTTGTACGACATGAGCACCACTGTACGATTTTCATATATATATATATATATATATATATATATATATACACACACATATATTGGCACATATACGTATGTATGTATGTATGTATGTATGTATGTATGTAAGCATGTATGTGTTTATGTGTGTATGTAAGATGATGTATATGTGCCTTCGTGTATGTTTGTTTATACAAGCTGTATGTTATATATGTATATATATATATACACATGTCTCATGTTTTTGTACACGTATGTATGTATCTACATGTAAACCTGCACTTTGCAGATACATGCACACGAACACGAACCAAACGTTTCACGTTTCTCCGTTGCTCCAAGTATGTTCGTAGGTAGTGTTTGCCGGCTAAATTGCTGTGTACACAGGCGCTCTTGACCTGTTTGGGATGATTCCACTGTGCTTACCGTTTCGAGTGTCAGAACTTCCATGCATGAAAGCGCGAAGCACCCAATGTTGACACACACGAGTGCCGCTCGATAATATACTGTTCGACTGCTGCAGATCAAGGTCGCACCGAGGCAAGCCTGCGCCTGTTTCTATCGACTGCAGGAAACAGGTGTTTCTGATAGATTTGTTGGCCTTTCATGCTTGCTTCTATTGCGTTCAGCTGTCGTTCTTGCTTCTTGATGACTTGGCTCTCGGCTGTTCTTGTGTGGCGGAGCCTGGTTGTTTCGTGTTGCAGGGTTTCGACTCAGGTCAGTGTCCTCAAGTTGGAATGCAATGATGTGGGCAGCACCTCAACTGCCAGTAGCGCAGCCGTAATTGGGGCTCCCTCAAAAATCTTACAAGATGAATCTCCTCTAACGTGGAGGGAGCCTTGATGTTGCAAATGTAGGAAGGATGGCGGACTCTCGCCTCAGTGACCATGCAAGCACAGACGGGTCGTCCCGGATCCGGCAATGTGCCACTAGCCTTATCCAGTATTGCCTTTTTGTGGAGCCTTCAAGTTATCTTAAGTCCGGATCCAGAAATTCTGAACCTGAAGCTCTGGCCGCCACAAGACAATTGCGGTGGTGGGGCCACAGAAGTTGGACGCCTCAGGCAGGTAGAGAGCATCACGGTGAAGGTACTGGCGATCTTGTGGGTCACTCCTGCTGCAGATTCGATTGTCATGCATCCTTTTTTTTTGCACTGGTTGTGCTTGGCCTTCACAAGTGTGTAGCCTTCTGTTGAAGAGTGCATGACTGCCTTGTGCACTTGGCTAGAATCTAGGGTTCCCAACTTGCACTCCACTCGACTCCGGATCGTTCAGATGCAAACTTCACCCAGTTTTACAGATGGGGTGGTCTCTGGCTGGCCCGAAACTGTTTAAGTCTATCCCGCGCTGGTAGCGTCCGGCTCTAATACGATTTACTGCCCTTGTCAAGTCGTGCGGCCTGGCATGACGACCAGGACATGCGGAGAACCTCGGACATATGAGGGAGAACGTGATAAGCTTGTCGTCGTCCGCGGTCCAGTGAGACTACGCTGGGTTCAGGCTCGATTTTTGAAAGGGCACATGGGCAAGCAAGTCAGCGCGGATACTGACGCACGGCTTCACCTCTTGAAGAGAGATGCAGGCCGTGTGCAGCTAGTGCTTTTCATGTTGGACGTGGGCCACCCATGAGCTTTGATGGGCAACATGCAGATGCATGCAACACCTTGTGAAAGTGTAATTGTACTGTACTGTCGATGGGGCATGAAACATGGCTGCATAGAAGAGACCAGAAGGCGATCCCGTGCATGAGATGCTTCTGTTACAGGTTCTCGTCTACCGTATACAGTGACCGACTGAGGGCATTGCAGATTTAGTCGCGGTTGAGGGTGCGCAGGATTTCATGCAAACAAGACTTGCCTGTGCAGACCAGATCTAGGCTAGCCTAAACATATTGAAGTCAGTACTAGTAAAAAGTTATTACTGATGATTGTCGTTATTCTCATTATTATGGTCATCATCATCATCATCGCGAATCAAAGTTGTGCTTCTTCTTATCAATGTCAGAATGCTCAGGGTTGCTGTGGTTGTTGCTGCTGCTGTTTCTTCTACACGAAGGGTAGAGATCATAATCGTTACTGATACTTCGACCAATTTTTCCGTTACTAGTTTGTTGTAATTAGTACTACTGATGCACCCATGATTGTTACCGTCCTTAGTCATGCTTACTCTGGCTCTGACAGTTACACCTACTCTTACTCTTACTACTGCTACTACGACGACGACTACTACAACTGCTGCTGCTCCTGCTCCGTCTCCTGCTCCCGCTCCCCTCGTGCTCCTCTTACTCCCCCGCTCCCACTCCTGCTCCCACCCCTCCTACCCCTTCTCCCCCTTCTGCCCCTCCTATTCCTCCTTCCTCTTGCTGCTGCTGCTACTGCTACTGCTACTGTTGCTGCTGGCTCTACTGCCACTGCCACTGCCACTCCTACTACTACTACTACTACTACTACTACTGCTACTGCTACTGCTACTGCTACTGCTACTACTACCACTACCACTACCACTACCACTACCACTACCACTACCACTACCACTACCACTACCACTACCACTACCACTACCACACTACCACCACTACCACTACCACTACCACTACTACCACTACCACTACCACTACCACTACCACTACCACTACCACTACCACTACCACTACCACTACCACTACCACTACCACTACCACTACCACTACCACTACCACTACCACTACCTACTACCACTACTACTACTACTACTACTACTACTACTACTACCACTACCACTACCACTACCACTACCACTACCACTACCACTACTACTACTACTACTACTACTACTACTACTGCTACTTCTACTACTGCTACTACTGCTACTTCTACTACTACTACTACTACTTCTAGTGCTGCTGCTGCTGCTACAACAACAACAACTACCACTACTACTACTACTACTACTACTACTACTACTACCACTACCACTACCACTACCACTACCACTACTACTACTACTACTACTACTACTGCTGCTGCTGCTACAACAACAACAACAACTACCACCACTACTACCACTACTACTACTACTACTACTACTACTACTACTACTACTACTATACTACTACTACTCTACTACTACTACTACTACTGCCACTACTACTACTACTACTACTACTACTACTACTACTACTACTACTACTACTACTACTACTACTACTACTACTACTACTACTACTAGTTTTATATTCTTCTTGGAGTTGAACTACCATTGCTTTTACAGTTTTTGTTGTCATCATTGTTGCTGCTGTTGTTGTGGTGCTTTTTTCATGATGGTTCCTGTTATCTTTATCATTACTATGACGTTTCGTGTGGCCCTGACCAACAGTTGGTCGCCATTGGGTGGGACCTTGTCCTTGTCTCACAGCACTCTGGACATCCTGCAAGGATTCGTTTCCAGGAGCTTGGGCATTTTTCAGAGGAAGTGATCCCCGACATGCTTGACAATTCTGCATCACAGCTCTCATTTTTTGAGAAGGCTTCCTCTGAGCCGCAAAGCGGGAACCCCGCGGCATCTGATTCAAAAATTCGGGGAATAGCGTGCCTGGCCGTGGCAGCCGCGAGTCGCTGGATTCAACCTTTGACTTGCACACGTATATGTGCCTTTTTCAGAAGGGGCCTTTACGCCTAAAGTTTATGGATGGGAATCCCGCTCAGCTTCGCACAGCCGGCGAAAGCAAACCGTTCCCATGCAGTTGCTCAGCAGCGGGCATGTGTGGCACATGGGGTGTGCAAGAAGCAGGCTCGAAGACAAGCAATGTGATTTCCATCAACTCTCTGGCATGCTTCTTGCCGAACTCCTCCGTTGTTAGGATTAGAAAGTCTGCGAGTGTCATTTTGCGAAGAGAAGCTGACAAGTGAGCAAACGGGCTACCTGGACGTCGCAGAGTGGCAAGACAACCCACAGACGGTGGCAGTGCTGGTCGTGTAAAGCTTTGAAGCTCAGGTCTTGGACTTCGTACTCTTGCGGTCATGGTCGACTACTCGAAGTTCAACAGTATTGAAGATAGTGACGAGGAGCCGATTTGGCAAACAGAGGCACCGGTTCTGGGCTCCCGTTGCCATGACTACACCGGACCAAGCTTCTGGAGGATGCACATGTTGGCAAGGTTGTTTGACGTACATACATGAAGTTTTGATGCTTTGAGGTCCGGTTGAAGGCATCAGACGTAAGTGTTGAACCCATGCGCAGCGCTAGCAGTTTTAGCATTCCGGACGGAGTGTTCAGCACTTTCGGCCCCTGCAGAAGTCGGGCGTACAGGGAGGGGTTCAGCATTTGCAGCCATTGAAGGCGTCCCAGAAGTACCAAGGCTTGTCGCAGAAGGCCTGGCGAGTCTGTTGCAGTAGGTCCATGTAGGGTCAGAGCTTGCAACGAACATGCGAAGCTAGAGCGGGTCTCGGTTGCTGTCGAGAATTAGGTATGAGGTTTTCTGCAGGGGCTTTTGTGATGTTTTTCTCCTCGGTGAGCGATGCAGCCGCAGCAGCCGTACCACATGCTGCGATGCGTACGGACCGCCGAGCGGCCAAGCCCAGCTCGGAGTTGCCTGTCGGATCCATTCGGATCCTGTCGGAGCTCTGCCGTGTCAGGTGCTGGCGGAGCTCGACGAAGGTGCCGTCAGCCTTCAGCAGCGCGAGAGGTGTCCCGGGTCCGGCATACGCCATGTCAATCCTGCCGGAGTTTTTTGGAGCTCCGGTTTTACGACCACGGCCTAGAGTCTTAGAGAAACTGTAGAGCAGAAGAGTCAGGACCTTCGTTCTGAGTTTCTTTTCAGACCAACCGCAGCAGAGAGTTTGACAGTTTGATTCTGAGCCGTGAAGTATTTGTTTTCCAGTCGCTGCCGACAGCCAGCATCTTGTAGTGTGTTCGCTTGGCCCAATCCGCGACTTGGAACTGTCCTGACAGGCATTGCCATTGCTTTCTCGATTTCTCTGTGGACACATCCAACCTTAAATGCTACGAGCAGGACTTGTTCAGATGGTGATGTGGTGCAATATGACATGATTTGCCTGTTTTCTAGGGCTTGACAGCTGCTAATCTGCTCAGCATGTTGGACCTCTTGTTTCTTTTCAGTTCCGGAGGGCAAGAACCGCAGTGGAAAACCGTTCACATACGATGCAGGGGAAAGCGCCTTTCCGGGTGATGCCTGTAGTCGATGTACCTCGAGTCTAGACCGAGTATTCAACTCAGAGCCTGACACAGTCTCCTGGAACCTTCGGCCATGACTCAAAAGGGTTGGGTGCAGAAGCCAGAAGGCTGCCGCGTGCAAGAGCGCTCATCTTGTGCCGGCGAGGAGATGCTCGATTCTGGGGCAAAGATCCCTGAGAATCGGTACCTGGGCAGGGTCGTCATCGAGTTGGACCAGGCATGGTACCATGCAGCCTCATATCCACAAGACGACAGCTGTCGAACGACTATGCACGTCTGTACTCGTGAGCTGCACGAGCCTCAGCAGGTCGCTCATGCACCGAAGCTTTGCGAGAACTTCCGGCTTCTCTGCACGGGAGAGCGCGGCAACGGTGTGGGCGGGAAGCGCCTCTGCTACCAGGCTCTGCACCTTAAGGATCAAGATTTTTTCTCAGAAGCACTCAAGCCCTGTGCAGAGCACAACCTTCTTTGCGCCTGAACCAGTAGCATGGTGTGTTTGCTGGTGTCGCGTGTGACCTGCTTGAATGCTTTGCGCAGATGTAAGTTCTACATGGAATGTCGGACGAAGCGATAGTTGAGCAGTCCTGGCCACCATCAGGGGCGATCACTGGACTACATCTTGCCGAAGTACTGCGTGCAGGCTGTGCTTCTGGGAGACGACATTTATACAGCTTGAACAACGCGCGCGCATGCATGTTCGGCAGGCTTCCATACCCAACGAGTATTCGTGTTGGGGATCATACCTGCCCGACGAGAGGCCTGCCCACACGATTCAGTGTATGGCTAAGGTGGCGAGAGTTTGCCGATGCATGAGTGCACCTGACTTTCGGTTGGAGGGCTCGCTCCAGCTTCAGTTCATGACTTGCACACAGCTGCTTTTCCAGGCTCGTGCTGCCAAACACCTCATTTGACAGGCTCGCTGCCTTGAGCCATGTCCTCCGCAGGCATGTCCAGACTCAAGACTGACGGTGGCGTCTGTTTGCCCTGTCGACCGAATCTTCGTGCAGGCTTGTTCTAGACTGAATGCGAGAACCGAGTCTTCAGGCCTGGCCTCCTGGCAGCCACAGCCTCGGCGAGTGCTTGCGTCTGCAGACAATCAGACAACCACTTACAGAGTGAGAGGTGCGCTTGTCGGTTTTGTTAGTGCTTCAGAACTAAAGCTTGTCCACATTGTGGAGATGTGTATCGGCGTCAATAATGGTCAGACAAACCATACAGCATGCCTATGCTTCCAGTCGACTCTTCGTGAACATGTGAGGCCAGAGTGCATGCTCATTTTGTGACAATATGTAGCAATTCCTGCCTTGCTTGGCCTGCAAAGTTTGATCGCCTGTCGGACTTTATGCCGTTCTGCCGTGGCCGAGGTAGGCAACCACGGCGCGAACACGAACAGTGCTTTTCTTACAGCCACGTTACACAAGCAGGATCGAGATCGCAGGTTCTGTGGGTTGATGGTGCACCCGTCTCAGGTTGCACTTTCATGATCACGTTGAACGAGGCCGACCACTTGGACGGCTCCCGGCTCAAGATGCACTCAGCCCTCGCGAACTTTTTGAGCCCGACAGGGCCAAGGGCTTCTGAGCACCTTGAGTCCAAAGGTTTCAACCAGATCATTGGACGAGTGGTTCGTGGAATGGAGGCCTGGATTTCGGCTTCACGACACGCATCACTGCTTTACTTAGAACCACAAAGCTCACTCATCAGATGCAAGCCTAACTGTTGAAGTTTGATCGCGTGGAGTACGGCCGATGAGTTCTCAGCGCGTGTTTCCTAAGCACATGCACTACGGAAAGCTTGATGGAGACTAGCATGAAACATGCAAAATTCTGGAGCACGGTCACAGGTGCTACGCTTGATCGAGGGCCTTCCTACAGCTTGTCCCTCAGGCGTTGCAGGAATAGAATGCCGAATAGAACCTCCTAGTAATGCTTTCTTGTCGGCTGGGCCTCACACCTGCCAATCATTAAGGATCGCAAGACCTCATCCTATGCGGAACGCAACGCTGGGACCTTGGTGCGCGGCCTCGAGAGCGAGAGCCTGAGTTCGAAACCAGCTCTAAGGTCAAAACGCACTGGGGAGGCCGACCCATGGTTGACGTGATCATCGAGAGCTGTGGCCCGGGCCTTGCGACGGCGGCCCTCTGCAACCGCGCGACTTCTGCTTTCGAGGTGAGATCACTGAGGAGCAGATTGCCGTGCCCAAGCCAACAGATGGTCTGTGTCCTGGTGCGACCTCGCGGGACTATGCGGGACTGCAAGATCTCAGCCGCATCCCAGCGGAAGCGGTTCTCTGAGGCGACGCCTTCCCGGCACATCCTCTGGACTTCTCTGTGAAGAGCGAGCCTTCCGAGCTGATGTTCGCACAGGAGATAATTGGATTAACGCTGTATTTGGAGCGACAGAGATCTTCAGGGTAGCCGCAGGCGGCTTGTAAAGCTTGCAGTATGGCTCGTAGTGCTTCGGAAGCTGTTGTGCTGCAGTGGAACATCAAATCCGAGCGGAGTTCATGTCCTGTGGGAGCTGAAGAGAAGGAGCGCATCCGTGAGATCGGCAACGAACACTTCCGGAGCTTGGGATGCATGTGGCACGCAAACGTGACGATTTCAGCGCTTAAGTCTTGTCAAAGTCTCGAATCCTGCGGATTCTGGAGGGTTGCATGCGCAATGTCGCATATCGTGCACAGACTTGGCGATTGGCATGCCCGATGATCTAGCTTAATGCGTGCCGCCAAGTGAGACCTCGAGCAGTTCCTACGCATGCATACATTTTAAAGTTGTAGCTTTGGCTCCTCTGTCCTCACTGTCTGCCGCTGTATCCCAGGAATAACCAGTACAAGCAGGCCTTGGAGAAGTACAACAAGGCCTGGCTAATAAATTGTGCCGTCAAATGGAGTCAATACATGAAGAAGTGAAAGCGCGATTCTGGGTGTGCAAGATTTTCTCCATTGCAGTTGCTTTTATTCCTGATGATGTCGCTGGAAGAAGAAATCCCGGAAGTTCTGGCACGTTGTTTCAGGCACTGGCATATCTGGAGCCGCTGCTGAAGAAGCAGAACCTGAAGGCAAGCTTTGTCGGGCCTGGGGAAGCTGCTGCGAGGATGGAGGTACAGGCTGTGGGATGGTGGTGCTTGAGCTTGATTGGAGGAATTCGCTGATCAAGAAGCCTCCACTATGTTGTGACTGCCTTACTGGAAGTTCGTAGCAAGTGTTTGTTTATGATGGAGGTTGGGAAGCAGACTGGTCCAGTGCATGCTGCCGCCCTTTTCCAAGCACTCTCACCTCTGATCCGAGGGCTGGTGGCGTTCGTCCGAAGGATCGCACGGAACCTGTCAAGGCCGCCTGCCTTCGAGACAACACGATCTTAGGCGAAAGTGTTGCGACATTCGTCATTTACGCATCTTTGGCCCAAGCCAGTCTCAAGTCTCTCATTCCGGGCACATTCAATGCTCACTGATGATTGCAGGCTGAGGCGGCACTGAAACTAAACGTGCACATCTCAGTCTCAGGGCTATGCTTGCTCGGTATTATTTCTGCTGGTGCGGCGAGGTCTTGTCGTTTGTACGGGGGTGAAATGAAGGCCCCGGAGTCTGGGGTGCAGTCAACTTCCAAGACCCTGTCAAAAGCAGGAAGAGGCAATCCCGAGCCTACTATGGAAAGCCTTGAGTTCCGAGCAGCCCTGGCAAAAGTAACAACCTCTGCAGTAAATGTCAACCTGATCGATCCTCATGCAAAGAGGCAGAAGTAAGCACTGGTCCTGGCCTTACCTGCCAAGGTTTGCCAGGTGCTGCTCGCCGGAGCCTCAGATGCTGAAGCACTGGATTCGCCCAACACTTCCAAAGGGGCCCGGCCGCTAACTCTCTGATCTTTAGTGCGCAGCTGTTCAGCTTCCAATGACAACAACATTGCTGCCGAGGCCATGGGCGAATGGCAGGGTGCAATTGCCGTCGCCGTCCTTCAGCTGCACTTGTTGTCTTGGGCAGAATCTCCAGCGGAGACGTATTGTATTGGAATGGGAATGGGAGAGAAGATGTGCTACGATTCGGTTGTCTTGCAGGTGGGATTTGCAGGATCTCGGCCTTTAGGACACGTCGACTTCAGTTTCTATTGCAAAGTCAATTGCTGTCCAAGGATGAGGTCTTCCTCGGCCTTGTCGGCAAGCATTCTCAAAAGGCCTTGATCCTCATGACTCCGTGGAGCCGCATCTTCCACAGTGGCTGTAGAACATAGGTGAGGGAGGGTGCACGTGCCGATGTGCGAAGCAAGAACTGCTGTGGGTTGCTGTGTCGCTTGTTCGTCATGCTCCTGTGCATGTACCCATGGTGCCCCATCCGCTTCCAAACCCGTGTTCAAGCTCTGGGTGAGCATCGTTGTTACAGGGCCTGGGTGCACTGCCCAACGACCCTCTCGTCGTGAAGGCCAGAGCACTGAGCATTTGGCTTTCAACGTTTTGCGGCAGCATCCTTTCATATGATTTATTGGGAAATATTTGTCGGAGTGACTTTTCCACACTTGCTGGCCCTGCACGTCTGCTTTTTCAGCCCTAGACGGAGTCGTCAAGACTGCCAACAAAGAAATGGCAAGAACTGAAAGGACACAGCCACCAGAGAACCGCAAAAGGAATGGATAGAAGGTGGACGTCCGTGAAACCAGAAAGGAGGGCGGCCAGTCAAAAAACGGAGCGACAATTACTGTATGCTTGCTTCTCGTTCTGTAGTGTATTTACAGCAAGGCCAAGCCCAAGCTTGATTCGTAAGTCGTAAGGGCCTTCCATCTCGCGCCTGGGCCCCTCACAGGCACTCTTCAGGCGGGCCAAGGCTCGCATTGGCCTGTCCGATGTCGGGGCCCGCAGAAGACTGGAGAGTGTGATACTGTACGACATCATTTTCCGAGCAGTCTCCACTCCCGTTGGCTCAGGTGAGTGGAGAGATCTCCCAGTTGGAGGAGGCTATGGAGGAGTCTGTTCGTGTAGGCATCGAGCTTGTAGACGCGCTCAGAATCCAGTTTAGTTGTCCGGACAACTGCTTTGAATGCTTGCTAGCCAAAGTAGTTGGAGATGCTGAGCTGGACTGCTCGCCTGATTCGCGGCCTGGACGGGCCCAAGAATTTGACACGGGTGCAGATTGTTAGTGCTTCATGAGATTGCTTCAGCTCCGTACCTAGAGCCCCAAGTTGAGGTTGAGGTGCTGAGACATACAACTTCTCGATTCCGGTTATGTCTTCACAAGGACAAGTTGTTCCCACTTTTGGCACCAGCACATTGCAATTCATAGCGCGATGGCATCGAAGCTGCCTTCCATGGAGAGCCTCTTGGACAAAGTTGATGTGGTTTCCAGACGTCCTGCACACTTGGGATATTCATGTAGTTGCGTAAGACTGCTGAGGTGCGGCGGCCGTCGCGGCCACGGCCATTGGGGTGGCCTCAGCACCCTTTCCAACGCCATTTTTGTGCAAGCAGACTTCGTTGCAAGTCTGTGGGTGCCAGGCTCTGTGCCTCTCCGAGAGCTCGGCTTTCGCAGCACCACCCAGCATTCCAAAAGGCGCCGCTTAGGAAATTAGCACTCGAGGGCCGCACAACGAGCTTTTGCAGTTTAGCATTGCAGTAGGGCGGATGTCTTGTTTCTTCGGTAGTGTCCACACGGGCAGGTGCAACCTTTCTCGGCCGTGAGACTTCAGGCCGAAGCCGAGTTACGCAAGCGTCATCCAGCGTGCCAGACGATGCCTCTTAATCAGATGCTGCGACCACGACGTCTCCGCAACGTAAGCTCGTAGCCCTTAGTCGCGATACCCCCTCACCAAAAACTATAAGCGGGCAAGGAGCCGCCCCGACAGCGGCGGTGCCAGTGGTTGGCGCTGGCGCTTCGCTGGGCTTGGCTCTGGTGCGCCAGAGCTTTCCCTTCTTGGAAGTTTCAGCTAGAAATTCGGGCGTTACACTCATGAGCGAATCAAGACACTTCGCCGAACTGCCAGGCGTATGCGGCTGCACGGCCTGCAGCCAAGAAGAGGCCGGACCAGTAAGGGGAGGAGAACGCAGTCAGAGCAGCATAGCAATGCATAGCTGGTTGTCCGAGAAGGTTTGAATTCATGTCCTAACTACGTAGATGTTAGCTCTTGATGCTGAGCAGCATGACAAGAACATCGGTGAAATAGCAGCTTGCGACTTGGCTGGGGAGCCTAAATCTAATGTCGGTAATGCATTGGTCTCAGGTTTGTGGGCGGCACAGTGGCCGCTGTCGTTCAGACGAGGCGAGCAGTGCCCATGCAATCCTTGGGAGGGACGGCACGGTGCTTGCCTGCATCCGCAGGTCGTCACAACCGAAGGCGGTCGCGCGGCGTGCCTCGACCTTCGACAGCCGAGTCTTAAGTTCCGTGTCTCGTACCTTGCTTGGGTCACGCGGACATGGTGGCGGCAACACAAGATGTTCTGACACTCCTTCCTGACGGACGGCAGTTGGGAGATACCATCCTCAATGTGGGGAAGAGAGCGGCGAAGAGAGTTTTTTTGCGACTCTGCCGCCGCAGGTGCCATGTTCGAGAGATTCTCTCCTGGCTCCATGAAGGTCTGTCTGGCATCTTTTGATTGATTGTTTTCGGAGTTTTGCGATCTCGTTAGAATACCAACGACAGCGGTAGCAAACAGGTAGCAGCAGCAGCAATAGTGGTTGTAGGTAGTAGCAGGTAGTAGCAGGTAGTAGCAGGTAGTAGCAGGTAGTAGCAGGTAGTAGCAGGTAGTAGCAGTAGTACTACACTTTGCGGGCGACTACTACTACTACTACTACTACTACTACTACTACTACTACTACTACTACTAGTACTACTAGTACTACTACTACTAGTACTAGTACTAGTACTAGTACTAGTACTAGTACTAGTACTAGTACTAGTACTAGTACTACTACTACTACTACTACTACTACTACTACTACTACTACTACTACTACTACTACTACTACTACTACTACTACTACTACTACTAGCCCCCCCCCTCCCAACTACACTTGTTCCATCCTGGCTGGGCAGCGGTAGCTGCTAGGCGCCTTAATCGCGAAAGTTGCAGAAGATGCACGGGCTCAGGCTCCTATCTGTGACAGCTGCAGAAGTTGCAGAGGCTCAGTTTCCTTAACTGTCACAGCCGGTGAAGTTGCAGGGGCTCAGGCCCCAGAACTGCGACAGCAGCTGGAGTTGCAAGCTCGACGGGGAAGAAACTGCTAAACCGCAGGTGGTCGGACAGTACGAAAACGCTGTAGATACCGTGCAAAACGCAGGTGCTGCCAAGAAGGGTTTAACATTTCTAAAGCCTGAAGCGCAACATTTTCTAAACATCAAAAACAAAGATGCCAGCTGTACGTGGGAGCGGCTCGCCAACACCCCTACCGCCCAACCTCGGCGTAGGAGAATCTGTTTTTGAAGTGGTGTGTGTGTGTGTGTGTGTGGTGTGTGCGCGCTTGAGTGTGGGAATATTGTTCAGGGTGTCCGCAAAACAGTGTCGTGATCATCCCCGAAGAGGCTTTCCCCCGCCCAATTTCGAATTTGCTTGCAAACAGTTCGAAACAGCAAAGTTTAATACGCATAGTCGAGAAGTACGGGCTCAGAATATGTGACAAAGTCTGACATCACGAAAGTAGCGTAAATGCCGAGTTAAACGTCTCTTGTGGTGATACTGTTGGGTGCGTCCGCGTAACACTGTCGTCATCATTCCCCCCCCCCCCCCAC